TAAAATGGGATGTCAGAGGAACAAGAATCTGAAAATGCCTGGTAGGATTGAGCTTGTCTCCTGGTACTTCTGCCATTGCTATAAGACAAGCTTCCCCCAGAGAGGTGTTACCCGTCCCTCCAGCTTGGGCCCAAGAATGAGACAAATGAAGCAGAATAAACACTTCTTGTTGTATGTCACTATGATTTTGTGGTTACCAGCTATTATGCAGCAAAAGTTGACTGAATCACAATATTTTAAAAATCCAAACAATTAAGACTGACTATATAAATCAGGGTCCTCAAACTTGCCTAAGGGAGAATCTTTCAGGATCTCGCTGGGACCTATATATTTTTTTTTTTTAAACTTAAAACACTATAGGTCCCAGTGAGATCCTTTCAGTACATCTAGATTATAGTGACGGAGATATGAATTTTATCAAAAACCACAGGTGATGGGGCACCTGGGTGGTACAGTCTATTGAGTGTCTGACTCCTGGTTTGGGCTCAGGCTGTGATCACATGGTCATGAGATCCAGCCCTGCATCTGGCTCTGCATTCAGCACAAAGTCTGTTTAAGACTCCTCTCCCCCGGGGTGCCTGGGTGGCTCAGTGGGTTAAAGCCTCTCCTTCTGGCTCAGGTCATGATCCCAGGGTCCTGGGATAGAGCCCCACATCAGGCTCTCTGCTCAGCAGGGAGTCTGCTTCCCCCTCTCTCTCTCTGCCTGCCTCTCTGCCTACTTGTGATCTCCGTCTGTCAAATAAATAAATGATATATTAAAAAAAAAAAAAAGACTCCTCTCCCTCTCCGCCTGTTCCCCCTGCTCATGCTCTCTCTCAAATAAATAAAATCTTTTTTAAAAGGTGGGGGGGGGGTCATCATGAGGGTGGAGGAGGTGGCTCAGTCAATTAAGCATCTGCCTTTGCCTTAGGTCATGATCCCAGGCTCCTGGGATGGAGCCCTCCATCGGACTCCCCCTGCTTGTGCGTGCATTCTCTCTCTCTCTCTTGCTCTCGCTCCCTGTTAAAAAAATAAATAAAAATCTTGGGGGGAAAAAAAAACACAAGTGGCCCTGTTGCAGTGCCCACATATTAAGAAATACAAAAATAAAGATTACTAATTTCCAGTTCCCTAACAATATTTATTGACTTCAGTGCTTAAGAACCCTAACTAAATAGATGAATATTCTTTTAGACAATGTGTATATTCCTAAAGAGATGTAAAACTGAAATCTAACCAAGGGAGGCACACAGGCTGGCTCAGTCAGTAGAGCATGCAACTCCTGACCTCCAGGTTGTGAGTTCAAGCCCGAGAATTTACTTTAAAAAAGAAGAAGAAGAAAGAAATCAAGTGAATTATTTCAAATTCAGGAAGATTCAACTGACAATGATGTCAGTCCAGCCATTAGACATATCCAAGCCAGCCATGGAGATGAAGAATTATGATGTGATGCAGAATCCTGAGTTCCTTCAGATGTTCCGGAGAACCTTCCAGGAGTGAATCCCAAGAAAAAGGCCATTTGAAATGTCATGGGCTCCCTGGCCTCCCGGGCAACCCAAGGATGGCAAGAAGGACAAGAATGAGGAGGACAAGAAGACTGGAGGAAAGGGGAGCTGAGCCTGCTCAAGGGCCTGCACAGAGTAGGGTGGGTTATAGGGTTACATATGTTATCTGTAGCCATTACAACCTAAATAAAGAGGGACAACTTTTTTTCCAAAAAAGAAATTTTAACAGAAACTGATTCTATAGTAAATATTGCATTGTATTATATCCTTTTATTAAAATTAAGAATTCATTTATAAACCAAATAAGCACATATTTTTCTATAAATTCTAATTTTTTGCATATAAAATAGTCTTAGAATTAAGGAATCCAAGAACCAGATACAGTTAAGCGGGAAAGAGGGATTCAAATGAAATAAAGGATTTATCCGTGCCCCCAAAGAGGGATGTGATATCAGCCAGTCTTCCTATATTTTTTTTCCTATCAGCAACACTATTTGCACCTGTCTGGTTACATCACTACATCTATGTATCCCAAGTCCACACAGGCTCTCTCTAGTCACCTTGCGCCTAACAAAACTGTACTAGCCGCTGCAGTATCAGGAAAAGTGTAACACATTTAGAACCATGACATCTGCATAACCAGTGCTGAATGACAATCCTGTCAAGCATCCCTACTTCTTTTCAGAGGCTAATCTAGTGAAGGCACTACTCTATCTTATGTTCCCAATTAGAGTAAGCTGTTGTTATCATTAATGTGTTAGGTAAGGGTACAGGCTATAATCCTGGCTCCAGAATTTACTCTGTGGTGAGTTATTTAAATTCTCTGTACTTCACTTGTCCTCTCTGTAAAAGGAACATAATTAGACCTGGAGTGTAGAACTGTCATGAGGATCAAATGAGAAAATACATGTAAAGCTATTAGAATAGTTGCTTCTCCCTCTCTGCTCAGTGAGGAGCCGCTCCCCCTGCTTGTGCATGCATTCTCTCTTTCACTCTTGCTCTCGCTCTCTGTTAAATAAATAAATAAAAATAAACACTAGCTATTACTATTACTGTTATTACTGTGAAATCCAGCTTCACAAGTTTTGGCATCCAGTACTATGTAATACTAGAGGGAAAAAAAAAAACAAAAACCAATACCACTTTAAGTAGTGATTCTTTCAATCCCTCCATTTCAAGGAACATTATTCTATTTTATTTACCAAATACAAATTAAATGTATTTTTAAATCACTGTTCTTTCCCTTACTGTTATCAGTTTTGATCACAAAATGATAAGCCTGTAACTATAAACGAGAATCTACATTCTAAAAAGGTTAAGAATAACAAAGAACATGCAAAGTCTATGTTCTGAGATTTCTGATCACAGAATGACTGCTTAAACCTAAAGCCTTTTACTCTCTTCATATTTTACAGGAATCACAAGACTTACAGCTAGGGAATTTCAATAGCTAACACAAAATAAAGAAACCTAGAAAAAAATTGTTCATTTTTATCCCAAAAGGAATTGTGATGTTTAAGACTATTAAAATGTCAGTTTCAAAATACATTTCAATTCAGAAGTTCGAATTTTTTAATATAACGACATAAATTTATCATAAACATAATAGACAACCAATATCAAAGGCACTAACGGAAACTTTAAATTTTCTTTCAGAATTTTCCCAATGCACACTTTTAAAATGGAAATAAGCAAGCAACCTGTGTCCAGCAGAGCAATGAGAAATTTATTGAATGTGAAAAATACACACTTGTAAAAATTTAAAAGCTGTTATATGGTCCCTTATTCATCTCTAAATGCATAATCAATGGCCATCCTACACCAAACTTAAGAATTATATGTACAGTTCATTCCAAAAATTTCTAAAAGCATTATCACCAAAAGACTGCTTGAAAACTAACTGTAAACAGAAATGAGGCTTTCTCTGAGGTATCTGGGAACTAAAAGAAAATATCCTAAGGAAAGGATGACTACCATTTCCCTTTAAGCATAGTAAAATGTCAAAGAACTTTCAGGACTCAAATATGCTAGACGTCTGATGTGAGGTCAAAGTTGTCCCAATGACAAGAAAGCCAACAGATACCAGATGACTAAAATATGAAGTTATCGAAAATACTTTTAAGCCCAGTAGTAATCCCAAAAGCATATAAAATACGCGTGTATTTACGTTAAAAAGATGGAAATAAAATTACCAAAATGCTTTGGAACAAAATAAGAATAACGAAAATAATTAACAGTATTATACAATGTAGTAAGAATGTCAAAGCTCTGGCTTCCTCGACATTCATCCAATTCATTCGGTAGCATTTCGGAATAATGAAAGTAACATGGATTCCCAAAGAATGATCTAAATCTAAAAATAAGGCGAAAGTGTATGTTCTATAGTTGATGTTCTTTTAACTGTAAGCCAAATCCGCTTCTTTATGTTAAAAAAAAAATCTACAGCTCTGTTTCCAAAGATCTCATAATAGACACTGTTCATTGGCGATTAAAATATTATTTTTAATCCTTGCATTACCTCACAGCTAAAAATGTCAAGATACCACACCCAATATGTCTTTCCCCCCACCCGTGGGGGATGGGGAGGGGGCTACGGGAGCAGGGATTCGAAACTACACAAAAACAGGCAGGGTTATTTCCCTAGAAGGAACGGGAAGGGCGCGCAGGTACCGGACGCGGCTCCCTCCACAGCGATCGCAGGCCTCGGCCTCTGCGGGCTCCCTCGCCCGCCACCCGCAGGGAAAGCGGCCCGACGCGCCGCGCGGGGCTACTCACCGGCCGCAGTGCTGACCAGCAGGACCGTCCACAGGAGCGAAGGTGCCCCCCGGGGCCGCTGCAGCGAAGAAGTCATCCCTGGGCCAGCCGAGTAGCAGGAGGGCAGAGAAAAAAAGAAAAAAAAAAATATATATATATATATGGAAAGTAAACACGGGCGGAGAGGTACGGCCGGGAGGCTGGTCCTCGCTCGCGTCTGACTCGTCCGGCCCGTAGGTATTACAACGCAGTCTGAAAGGACAAATGGCAGATGAGAGGACCCAGCCGCAGAGCTTTCATTCCGCGGCAGAAATTCCCTTCATTTCTCTCCCTCGCGGCTGAGGAGGTTCATTCGCCGAGGACCGGGTGCCGCGGCCACCCAAACTGAAGGCATGTCCGTGTGGAGAAGCAGAGAGACGGGAAGAAAGCCCCGCAGTTATTTCCCTCGTAGTTTCACGATGTCGAAAAAATATCCAGGTCTGCGAGAAAACATAGCCGGGGTGCAGGGGGGTGGCAGGCGGGGGCTTCGACGGCGGGACTGAGGATCAGACCAAGTTCCCGACTGCCGCGAAGGGCGAAGCCGGGCGGGCGGCGGCGGCGCCCGGCGGCACGAGTCGCATCGCCCGTGGCTCCGGGAGGGCAGGATTCCTTCTTAAGTTTCGCTTCGGTGCTTCCTTCACTCGGATTGCGAGAACAACAAACCCCGTTCCTCGACTGGATCGAAAAAGGTGCCTGCCTCCATGGACAAACCCACGCCGCCTTCGAGCCTTCGCCCAACAATCCTGCGAGGCTCTGCCAGGGCCCGGCCGGTGCGCTGAGGGGCGGTAGGAAGCGGGGGAGGGGAAGGGTCAGCAGGCAGGGCCCCGAGCTCCCCGAGACGGCGGGCGGAGGGGAGGTGCGGGGAGCTGCCCTTTCCAGCCCTCCCGGATTCGCTCCTCTCTCTTTCTCTCTTTTTTATTGCGGCCTCTCGATCTTGCCTGAGGTAAATTCCACGAAGAAAAGCCTCGTCTTCTCCCGTCAATGGCTCCTGTGAGCGAATCACAACCCCCGCCCCGAGGAAGCCGCTGCCGCCGCCGCCGCCGCCTCGTTCTCCCGCAGCTCAGGGCTCCGGGCGGAGCTCGGGCGTCGCGGGCCGAGGGCGGGGGGCGGCGGGAGGGCGGAGGTAGGTGGCTGGCTGAGGAGGGGGGTGGGCGACGAGGCGGCGAGACACCCCGCACCCCTCCGGGAAGCACTTCCAGTGGCTCCGAGCAGACCAGACACAAAGGGGGGAGTCGCCGCAGCTGCCAGTCTGCGGCGCTCCCGGTCACCGGAGTCGCCCCGCCTCCGCCGCCGCCTCCGCCTCCTCCTCAGTCTCCGGCTCTTCCCGGCCCTGTCTGTCTCGGGCCTGTGGTGCAGCGCGGGCGGCGGCGGCGGCCGCAGTGGCGGCGGCGCGAGGAAGCCCGCACTGCGCCTGCGCGCTCGCGGCCCCGCCCGGCCCCGCCCCTCGCTCCCGGGCTCTCCGAGATTAACTCCGCGGCCCGCGCGTGGCGTGTCTCTCCCCGCTGCCGAGGGCAGGGTGGGGCCGGCAACCCGCAGCGGGCGGCAATGGCCTTTCTCCCTCACACGCACAAACCTTCCATACGTGCGCGCTCGGGATCTGTGTGTGTGTGTTTGAGAGAGAGCGGCCACATCTTTTGTCCAGCCTTGGCAAACTGCTCTGAGCCGTGGTTTAACCCCGGACCGAGGTGTCGCGGTCTCCTCCGGGATTCCTGGAGTGAAGCCTTGAGAGGCGGAACTGCCGTCGTCGTTTCTTGGGGCCGGAGCCTGCCTCTCCATATCCCAAAGAATCCAGAAGAACCCTCCTTTCCCAGAACCGTAGACCTCGGCCTCCTCGGGCTCCCCTCGCTGACTCAAACAAAGCCGGACTTGGAGAGAGCACCCTAAATTGATATTTTTGCTTTTATCGGTGTGCGGCTTCTCTCCAGTGCCCACCACCGCATCCCTTCTTAGCTGACACAAATATTGGCCATTTGAAAGGGTGCGAAGTCAGAAAGCAAACTCTCTTTTTTTAATTCTATACAATGTATCTGCGTCTCTGTCTCTGCCGCGCGGTTCCCACTTAGAGGTGGGCCTTTATTCACAAAGGCTGTGGGCCTTAGGGGCTTTTTAGGACCTGTGAAAGGAAAATTGCGGTGAGGAGTTGCTGCCCCAGAGTCAAGAATGAGTTCGCGCCCAAGGAAATGAAGAGGTCCTGTTGGTACCGAAGCTTCCTGGAAAGAATCTGTGTCGTCGGTTTTTTGAATTGCAAAAACCCAAGCGACCAGGATAGGAGAAGGAATTCTCCCCCTCCCCGCCTCCGCCCTGGAGCCTTTGCACACCTCCTGCGGGATCATGTCGACTTGGGTGGGATTTTGCTGGGGAGAAAAGGAAGAAAGCAACGTGCATGATGCCATGATCGGAAGTCTGTGTTTAATTCTGAGCTGCCAGGTGGAAATTTTGCGTGGGAGGTCGATGTTAGAGGTGAAGTCTAGCCTTCCTTCTAATAAGAAGGGTTATTCTGAAGGCTGGTTTGACTGGTCTTTTCATTGTGGAGGTCAGTTCCAAAGACACATTCATAGATACACTCCTGAGGTCATACTCTTTATTTGCGTGTTCAAGTCCCCTTTTATCTCTTTATCTGAACTTGAGGTAAATAAACCTCCACGTTCCTTAAACTAGTTGCTGTTATCATACTAAATATGTAGTATAATTATGGGTTTTAATAATACCAACCCACGATTCTCAGACTCTTTTTGGTGGAAATATTTTTATACCGTTTACCCCTCCGGCAGAAAGAAATATTTCTGTATAGTAAAATCCCTGAAAAAGAAAAAATTAGAAGGAGCTTTGATTCATTACCTTTACTACTATATTTTTGCCATTTGACTTTCAAGAAATAAGATCTAGCGCTCAGAGAAATGGGATTTTGGTAAGTTAGAGGTGCAGAAAGTTTGTTAATTAGTAGGATACTGTTCTTTCTCAAATTGAGATTATTCTATTTTTATTTACATAAAAATTGTCCTAAGATACATTAAGTACCCTTATACATATTACAAATGTATGGTAAAACATATAAAAAAGAAGAAAGGATCCTAGGAAATTCATATGAAAAAAAATATATACCACTGACTTGGTAGGAATAATTCATAGACAACTAGATAGGCAGCCCTCTTCCCTTTTCTGTCGTTCTTTGTAGCATCTCAGTTGGGACATAGCTATTCACTCACTATGAGAAAGACCATCAGGGAAGAACTAGAACTGGGCCATCAGTATGTCCACAAAGACCAAACAGACAATACAAGTCAAGCTCAAGTGAAAACAAAGGATTGGCAGGGCAGGCAAGGTCTGGTATCTACACCAGTCAGGATAGGCTAGATTGTAACAAACATCTCAGCATCTTATAGCCACAAAAGTTTCATTTCTCACATTACATGTTTGATGCAAGTCATCAGGAAGCCTGTTACAAGTAAGATTCTTCGGGAAACAGGAGGTTATTGAGTAGTACTCTCAAGAACAACCTCTGGAGACTGAGGGTCAAAAAAAAAAAAAAAATCACTGGAAAGGGAGAACTTGAACTACAGTGCAGTTGCAACTGAGGCTTCAGCCAGTTCTGCAGGGAATCTGGAACTGGAATGACCCTTCAGCATTGTCCTAAATTGGAACAGAAGGCCTGATCGTTATACCTTCCCACCAACATGTCATTGGATATGGGCTGCACCCAGGGAAGGGAGGTGACCCTTGGATGAGAGGACTCTCTTTTCTTTTCTTTTTTTTTAAGATTTTATGTATTTAACAGAGAGAGAGAGAGAGAGAGATCACAAGTAGGCGGCAGGAGGGGCGGGGAGGAGCAGGCTCCCCGCTGAGCAGAGAGCAGAATGCGGGGCTGGATTCCAGGACTCTTGAGACCATGACCCAGATGAAGGCAGAGGCCTAACCCACTGAGCCACCCAGGCTCCCCAAGAGGACTCTCTTTAGCCAAGATCAACCCTCAGAGAGGAACCCAGCTGAAAGCTGTTCGCCACCAGCATTTCCAATAGTTGGGAGAAGTTATGCTGTAGTCCTAAAGGGTGGGTCTGGGGAGCTCAGCACAATATCCACTACATGGATTCTGCTCATTTTAGTCACTGAGGTCACCAGACTACTGGAGGCTTCACTGAGATACATGCTTTCAAGACTGCTACAGTTAGGGGAGCACCTGGCTGGCTCAGTCAGTAGAACATGTGACTTGATCTTGGGGTCTTGCATTCAAGCCCCATGTTAGGTATAGAGCCTCCTTAAAAAAAAAAAAAAAAAAGAAGAAGAGAGAGCTATAGTAAGGATCATAAAATTTAATTGCTAATACTGCAGTGTTTTTGCTCTAACCATTAAAATGCTTCCACTCAGAAGCAATACACCTTACTTCCAATCACATTTTATTGGCCAAAGAAGTCACATGACCAAACCTAACTCCCAGAGAAAAAGGAAATGTAATATTATACCACGTTACTAGAAGAACTGATAACAACCTTAATACTACCATCGTGTGCAAGGAGGAAATAATCACCAGTACTCTAATCACCAAAAGCCCAAGTAGGATAGGACGGTCTTCTAACATAAGGGGAAAACTCTGGCATAAGAAATTAAGAAATGAAAGGAGCAACACAGAAATCCAAGGGGACCAACAGTGTCTATAAAACTGTTGGATCTTCACTCTGTATTAAGGCCCCTCATTGATTATAGCTTTCCTCTGAGGTAGAAGACTTATAAAAGGAAAGCCCTGGTTTTAGTGAGGGTCTAAAGAAACTCAGAGGATATGCATTGGAATAAGGACCTAGGCAGAATCCTTGTTATATGAATAAGGATAAACAGGAGTTACCCAAGCTCAGAGATACCGAACACTTCTAAGAATAAATTTTTATCATTACAAAGGGATAATGTCAAAGAAAAGTATAAGAAAAACTCTTAGCTCTAGAAGAAAAATAATACAGATGCCCAGAAGTTAGCGCCGGGACACAGTACAGGGTCAAAATAATGAAAGGCAACTTGAGGCTGCTTAGAAACTTCAGGACTTAATCTTTAGGGCTAAACTGAGAAATGGGACATGGCGTAGTCTCCTTTTGGAAGATTAAGGTATAGTTGTGGGGAGAGGGGAAAACCCAATTGTGGAGTACAAGGAAAATGAGATTGGAGATTGACACCCCCCTCCACCTCCAATAACCTCTGGACCTAAAAGCAACTTTAAATTTCTCTCTTTCTAAAATAAGCAAAGCATGGGGCGCCTGAGTGGCTAGGTGGGTTAAGCCGCTGCCTTCGGCTCGGGTCGTGATCTCAGGATCCTGGGATCGAGTCCCACATTGGGCTCTCTGCTCGGCAGGGAGCCTGCTTCTCTCTCTCTCTCTCTCTCTCTCTCTCTCTGCCTGCCTCTCCATCTGTGATCTCTCTCTGTCAAATAAATAAAATCTTTAAAAAAAAATAAAATAAAATAAGCAAAGCTTAGGGGTGCCTGAGTGGCACAGTCAGTTGGGCATTCCCCTCAGGTCATGATCCCAGGGTCGTGAGATCCAGCTCCCAGTTGGGCTCTGTGCTCAGCGCAGATTCTGCTTGGGATTCTCTCTTCCTCTGCACCTTGGCCCCTTAAAATAAATATATAAATCTTTAAAAAAGGAAAAAAAATATATTAAGAAAAGCTTAAAAATAATAAGAAAAAAGCCTTGTATTTGGAACTTAGATCTATTGTCTCATTTCTTTCCTTCTCCTTTTGTCTAACTTTTGAAATTTTAGTTAGCCCAGCATCTGGGGTCAACCTTCCCTTCCATTTAGAACTAAATAAAATCATCTGAGCTTCCCATCCTGAGTGACTAACGGCAAGAGAACCCAGCTTCTCCCAGGCATTGAAAGATCCCAGTGGAAGACATATTTTCCACAAGTTTACCTGATTTGCTCTGGACTTCTCTACCGATACCTTGTAAGAGATTTTCCTTGCTGATGCCAGACACTGAACTCCGCTTTCCTCCAAACAATAGGATAGTTTATTTATTCTCCAAGCTATACCAAAATATGGCAAAAATTTTTATAAGGCTTAGCCTTTGGAAGAAGCAGAAGGAGGAGGAAAAAGATAGCTGACACTTGAACAATGCAGGAGTTAGGGGCACCAACCTCCATGCAATTGAAAATTCACATATAACTTTCTTTTTTTTTTTTTTATATAACTTTTGACTCCCCCAAAACTTAATTACTGATAGCCTACGGTTTGACTAGAAGCCTTATCGATACCATAAACAGACAATTAACACATATTTTGTATGATATATGTATTATATACTTATTCTCACAGTAAAATAAGCTAGAGGAAAGAAAATGTTATTAAGATAATCACAAGGGGTGCCTAGTCGGTTGGGCGTCTGTCTTCACCATGGGTCTTGATCCCAGGGTCTTGGGATGGAGTCCCAGATCAGGCTCCCTGCTCAGGAAAATCACAAGGAAGATGGGGTGCCTGGCTCCTCAGCTGGTAGAGCCTATAATTGTAGATCTCTAGATCATGAGCCGAAGCCCCACATTGGGAATAGAGCTTACTTAACAAAGAAAAACAAAGGAACAAACATACAAACAAAAACTAGGTGTGCTTGGCTGGCTCAGTCAGCAGAGCATATATGACTCTTAAACTCTGGGTTGTGAGTTCAAGCCCTACATTGATTATAGAGATCACTTAAAAAATAAAATCTTTAAAAATATTGATAAAGTAAAATAAGATCATTAAAAAAATTAGGGGCACCTGGGTGGCTCAGTCGGTGAAGCATCTGCCTTCATCTCAGGCCATGATCCCAGGGTTCTGAGATCAAGCCCTACATTGAGCTCCCTGCATAGTGGGGAGTCTGCATCTCACTCTTCTTCTCCCTCTGCACCTCTTTCCCTGCTTGTGTTCTCTCGCTCTGTCTCAAATAAATAAAATAAAATCTTTTAAAAATAATAATAAAAGAAAAAAGAAAAAGAAAATCATAAGGAATAGAAAAAAATTTAGAGTACTATACTGTAGTCATAAAAATGTGTGTGTAAGTGGATTCACATAGTTCAAACCCATATCGTTCAAGGGCCAACTGTATAATCTAGTAAAGGAAATCTTAAAGCAAGAATATCAGATATGACTGCTCCCAGAAATCTTTGAACCACATATATACCTATTCGATAGATTCCCTGCCCCCTGCCCAACTCAGAAAGTCGTATTCCTTACATTATGGTTACTAGCCGTGTTCCTAGAATCCAGTCCTCTCCTCTCCTCCCGTCCAGCTGAAATTCATCCATTCACCCATTCATCTTTCTTTTTCACTCATATAACCAACAAGTGTGTATTAAACTATGTGCCAGTCACTATTCTAGGTATAATGATACAGCAAGGAACAAGGGAGCCAAGTTCCTTCCTCTCATCCCCTCATAGTATTTACCTCTATTCATCTTCTATTGCTGTTTAACAAATTACCAAAACTTAGCAGCTCAAAACCGTCCATATTTATTATCTCACAGTTTCCATACATCAGAAGCCCAGGCACTAGTTAGCAGGGTGCTCTGCTCAGGTTCTCACAAGGTTGCAGCCAAGGTGTCATCCAGGTGGGGCTCTCATCTAAAGGGCTGACTGAGGAAGAACCTCCTGGTAAGCTCATTCAGGTGCCAGGAGCTGTTCTCAGCTCCTAGAGTTCCTTGCTATGCGGTCCTCTCCATAGGTGAATTCTCACAACCCAGTATCTTCGTTAGTCAAAGGCAACAGAGAGAGTCTCTCTTAACTCCAGTATGTTAAAACAAAATCTTACATAATCTAGGAGTGGTATCCCATCACCTTTTCCATATTTAGTTAGTTAGGAGCAAGTCACAGTTTCGACCCACACTCAGGAAGGGATTTTACAAGGGTATAGGTGATTGGGGATCCTCTAGGGGAATCACCACATTACCTTTTAGAAAGGAGAGACAGTATGAGGGGGACAGCTGTTCTACCTTAAAAGGACTTACCAGGTAAGTTTTGTTGGGAGAGCTACCTCTTGACCCCTGAGATATCACTTGATCTCTGCTAGGCAAAGATCTGGTAGAAGAGTCTTTTGAGGGGTGCCTGGGTGGCTCAGTGGGTTAAGCCTCTGCCTTTAGCTCAGGTCATGATCTCAAGGTCCTGGGATGGAGCCCCAAATACGCTCTTCTCAGCGGGGAGCCTGCTTCCCCTCTCTCTCTGCCTGCCTCTCTGCCTTGTGATCTCTCATTGTCAAATAAATAAATAAAATATTAAAAAAAAAAAAGAAGAAGAAGAAGAAGAGTCTCTGGCTTAGGAAACAAGCAAAGGCCTTGAGCTGGTTAGAACAATCTTGGTATATTTGAGGAATAAAAGGAAGGCCAGTTTTCACACCTGAAACTAATGTAACATTATGTATCAACTATATCTAGATTAAAAAAACAACTTAAAAATATTTCTTTCTGATTGAAATAAGAGGGGGGAAAAAAGAAAGAAAAAAGAAGAAGGTCAGTTTATTGGGGCATGGGAGATAAAGTTAGAGAGGTAGGCAAGTGCTACGTCATACAAGGCTAGTAGGTAAAAATAAGGGTGTGGATCATTTGCCTATTTGCTCTCAGTTCATTACCTTCCGCTTTCTTCTTTGTTCAGGGACTGACTTCTACAAACTTAATTTCCAAGACTCTCTTGTCCACTGGCTTCCAGTTAGCTTCAGCCTATGGGAGGTACAAGGTTAAAAATCCTTAGAATGACACAAGGCTCCTTCATTCCTTCTTCTGTTTAGCAAATAATTATTTTCTATGGTGATCCAGGCTCTATACTAGGCTACTGTGGATACAATAAGCAAAACAGTCAGTCTCTGCTCTTGCAAAGCTCTGTGATACCAGAGAGCTTACACTTCCTCAAATACACATGCCTTTGTGCTTGATGTTTTATTTGCCAAGAATGCACTTTCCCCTTCTGTCTCCTTAATTTTTGTTCACAACACCCAGCTCAAACAGTAATACCTCTAGGAAGATGCCCCTGATCCCACAGCCAAACAGAATTAATTATCCCCTTTCTGCAATACCTTTTTTTTTTTTTTAGTAAGCTCTAGGCCCAACATGGGGCTTGAACTCACAAACCTGGAGATCAAGAGTCCCCAGCTCTACGGACTGAGCCAGCCAGGTACCCCTTCTTAGCATTACTTCTATACCTTTTGTAAGCTTCTAATAATGTGCTTGTCAGGTTGCATTTTCATTACTTACTTTTGTTTTCTCTCTTTTGCTCTTGTTTTTGTTTTAATTTGTTTAAAATAATTAAATTAAATTATTTTAATTTAATAGATTAAAAAGAGGGATGATCTCTTATTTATCACTCTATTTCCAGCAATAAACACAGTAACTAGCATATAACAGGGCCTTAATAAAGACTGCTGAAACGAACTAAATTGGAATTGTTTGGCACTGCCCTTATGACAGGGTAAATAGGGATGGTGCTGAGATCTTGGAATTCCTAGAATCTATAAATCTTCCATTTGCCCTAGGAATAAGGTAGTTAGGATAACAATTGATCTTCATGAACACAGTCATTTTGCCTCTGGCTATATAATTTAAGGATACTTTCATGTTTCATTTTACAATAAAATAGACTTTTTCAAGTTAGGATCACTATTTATTAAGTTGTGTTATTACACACACAGTATTAATTCTTCAGACCCAAGTTTAAGAAAGCAAGAAGTGATAGGACAAACATTCACTAACTTAGATAAAGTCAAGGGAAAGGGCCCCTAAGTCAATGAGTCAATGAGGTTTGACTCATGGGATATATAAATATTTTATTTAAAGAAACCAGTGTGTCAAAGTAGTAATGAATTAAATTTAATAGTGAGTCTTTTTTTAAAAAGATTTTATTTATTTGTCAGAGAAAGAGAGAGACTGAGAGAGAGAGAGAGAGCACGATCAGGGCTAGTGCCAGGCAAAGGGAGAAGGCGGCTCCCCGCTGAGCAAGGAGCCCAGAACCCTGGGATTATGACCTGAGCAGAAGTCAGACACTCAACTGACTGAGTCACCCAGGCATAATAATGAGTCTTCAAAAGAGGATGAAATAGTGGCCCACTTAAAGAAAAATACTGGGTGCTTGCGTGGCTCAGTCAATCAAGTGTCCAACTCTTGATTTCAGCTCAGGTCATGATTTCAGGGTTGTGAGATCTAGCCTGGTGTCAGGCTCCATGCCCAGCATGGAGTCTGTTTAAGATTCTCTCTCTCCCTCTCCCTCTGCCTTTCCTCCCCTCTCTAAAAAAAATTTCAAAAATTAAAAAAATAAAAGAAAAATATTTCCTGGAATCTTATTCATGCTTTTTAGTTGACTTGCTAAGGAAGTTTTTTTTCAGAGATAAATTCAGGTCAGCCCCAGAAATTTGTTCATATTTTGAGTGAGTACATTTACACTTCTATAAATTTGTATTTTACAGGATTAGAATCGGAAGTCATATTTATTTATAGTGTACATGATTATAATCTGAAAATAACTGGCTTTAAGATTTATGCTTTGTGGGCACCCAGGTGGCTCAGTTGGTTAAGCACCCCGCTCTTCATTTTAGCTCAGGTTGTGATCTTGAGGTCATGGGATCAAGCTCCAAGCTGGGCTCTGCATTCAGCAAGGAGTCTTCTGAGAGTATCTCCCTCTGCCCCTTCCTCTGCCTGCACCCACGCGTGCTCTCACTCTCTCTCTTCCTCTCTCCCTCTCTATAAAATAAATCAATTTTTAAAATCTTTAAAAAAAGGTTGATGCTTTCATAGGATAAATTCACTCAAATTCTGCACAAATATTGCTCTAAGAATATCAATAAAATTCTGGGACTGTATCCTAATAAAGTATTAAGAAAGGCAGACAGAGGGCTGCTTGGGTAGCTCAGTCAGTTGAGCATCAGACCCTTGATTTTGCTTTAGGTCATGATAGGACTGTGAGATCAAGCCCCATGTTCCCTCCCCCGCTTCAGCCACCCCCTCCCCTTCTCTCTTAAATAAATAAATAAATAAATAAATAAATAAATAAATCTTTTAAAAAAAAAAAAAGGGCAGACAAGGGGCACCTGGCTAGCTCGCTCATTCAGTAGAGCACATGACTCTTGCTCTCGGGATTTTGAGTTCAAGCCCCACATTGGGTATAGAGACTACTTAAATAAAAACTTTTTAAAAATAAAATAAAATCTTTAAAAAATTTTTAAACTATAGAAGCTACAGGATAGCTACTGAGCATAAATAAACTCTTATATTAAGCTACAGAAGTTACAGGATAGTTATTAGGCATAATCTAACTTATATAGAGTAATATAATATGTGTTACCTTCAACAGATACCTAAACAACAGACAACATCAGTGTAAGACTGTTATGATGTCAGAGAATTTTTACAAAACCAGGACATGATTCACAAATGAGAATTATGAAGGAAAATAGCTAAGTACTTTTTTAAATTTTTTTTTAAGATTTCATTTATTTATTTGACAGAGAGAGATCACAAGTAGGCAGAGAGGCAGGCAGAGAGAGATGGAGAAGCAGGCTCCAGCTGAGCAGAGACCCCGATGCAGGGCTCGATCCCAGAACCCCTGAGATCATGACCCAAGCTAAAGGCAGACGTTCAACCAACTGAGCCACCCAGACACCCCTAAATATTTTTTTTAAAGATTTTATTTATTTATTTGACAGACAGAGATCACAAGTAGATGGAGAGGCAGGCAGAGAGAGAGAGAGAGGGAAGCAGGCTCCCTGCTGAGCAGAGAGCCCGATGCGGGACTCGATTCCAGGACCCTGAGATCATGACCTGAGCCGAAGGCAGAGGCTTAACCCACTGAGCCACCCAGGCGCCCCTAAATATTTTTTTAATTACAGAAACAAACCAAACTACTGGACATACCATAAATAATACAAAGATTCAAGGGGATCAACATAAGGGTCTGGAGTACTTGACCTGAGTCATGGGTACCAAAGGTACACAGACACAAAGGAAATTACAAAGACTAGCCATCGGAAGAAAATTATCTTTTTAAACTTTTATTTATTTAAGTAATCTCCATACCCAACATTGGGCTCAAACTCATGGCCCCAAGATCAAGATTCGCATGCTTCTCTTACTGAGCCAGTCAGACACCCCTGGAAGAAAATTATTTGAGCCCTCTCCTTTTCTCCAGCACTACGGTGGGTGTGGTTGACTGGTCCTTACCTTATCTTCTCACAAGACTTTGAAGATCAAGCAATTCCTGGCCAAGAAACAAAAGCAGAATCATCCCATTCCCCAGTGGATTCAGATGATAACTGGTAATAAAATCAGATACAACTCTAAGAGGACGCATTGGAGAAAAACTAAGCTGGGTTTATAAGGAATTGCATTAAGTTGGCTCACACACTTATGTTGCATGAAGGTCTCTTGCTTGTAACATATCACTCTGCAATCACTACTTCCTGAATAATGGGCACATTTGATTGGGAAAATGATTCTTCTCTCTTACTATGCTTCTGCACTAATAGGTTGGCACATTAATAAATATGAGAACTTCTGTTTGGAAAAAAAAAGAAATTATTGAAACTACAGTGGTTAAAAGAATAAAGTGGGTTATGGAAGAATTTGAGTAGTTCTACATTTTTAAGATTTGGTTAATTCTATATAGTAAGAGAACCATCAAGTTATCCAGTCATTGGATCAATTCAAGGAATACTTTTTCTTTTAAAACCCATGCAGAATGGCAATATTCGACATCTACAGAGTATCTTTTCATGTCAGTAAATCAGATAAATTGTTAAAGGAAACAATTAGAAGTAGTGTTCCTAAAGCTTTGTTCTGTTTTGTTTTTTTCAATAAGTAATCTCTACACCCAACATGGGACTCAAACTCAGAACCTCAAGATCAAGTCGCATGCTCTACAGACTGAGCCACCAGGCACCCCTAACATTTTTTGGGTTTAGATCCGCTATTGGTTCTACTACGATGGTTCCGGACTTCGACAGATCATTTCATTTCTCTAGGCCTCAGTTCCTCATCTGTAAGATAAGTTTAGACTAGTTATCCCTGTTTCTTTCCAGCTTTAAAACCCTATTATTTATTTGTATCACAAATTTCCTATTTTAGGATAATTACATTTAATGACAGGTTTCATTTCTATCCTAAAGGACACAGCTGAAAAAAACTATTTAAGAAAAAGCCTTTCTACAGCATATTATTTTATATTAGTGGAAATGTAGTGATTCTTTGTTTAAACTTACTCATGAAATAGGTGAACCTATTTGTATAATTTTGAGTCCTGAATTGTATAGTTTTATAGGAAAAAAAAGTCACTTTTTTTACATTTTTCTTCCCTTTTGTTTCATTTTTCTTCTTAATGTATGTGATTCCCACTGTTCACAACCAGAATATAGAAGCAAGTGATTTTTCCAGTTACATGCTAATATGTGATCAAAGTATATAATTCAACCTTTGTAATCTCCAGAGAGGTCTGAGTCACCCTTTTTTTTTTTTTTAAGATTTTATTTGTTGATTCGACAGAGAGATCACAAGTAGGCAGAGAGGTAGGCAGAGAGAGAGAGATAGAGGGAAGCAGGCTCCCTGCTGAGCAGAGAGCCCGATGCGAGGCTCGATCCCAGGACCCTGGGATCATGACCTGAGCCGAAGGCAGAGGCTTAACCCACTGAGCCACCCAGGCGCCCCCTGAATCACCCTTCACAACTTATTGAGAAATACAATGACTTACGAAAGTTACGAATCAATCAACAACCATTTATTAAATACTTTTTTGGATGTATAATATTGTATAAATGTCATATCAGTATTAACTTTTTTTAGAAGATTTTTTTAAAATTTAATTTTATTTTTTTTAATTTATTTGACAGAGAGCACTAGTAGGCAGAGAGGCAGGCAGAGAGACAGAGAGAGGGGGAAGAAGGCTACCTGCCGAAGCAGAAAGCCTGGGATCACGACCTGAGCCGAAGGCAGCAGATTAACCCACTGAGCCACCCAGGCACCCTAGAAGATGTTTTTAAAATGAGAGAGCAGGTACATGCAAGACCGGGGAGGGAGAGGGACAAGCAGACTCTGCTGAGCATAGAGTTCCAGGAGGGACTTGATTTCTCCACCCAAGACATGACCTGAGCTGAAATCAAGAGGCTGAAGCTTAGCTGACTGAGCCACCCAGATACCCCTCAGTATTAATTTCTAAAAGCTCTCTATTTCAGTATGATGAACATAACATAGTTATCCAATGTTGCCAAAGACATGAGAAAAGCACAAGTTAGGGGGGCCTGGGTGGCTCAGTCAGTTGAGCATCTGACCCTTGGTTTCTGCTCAAGCCATGATCTCAGGGTGGTGAGATTGGGCTCTGTGCTCCACACAGAGTCTGCTTAAGTTTCCCTCTCCCTCTGCCCTTCCCTACTATGTGCTTGAGTGTGAGCTCCCTCCCTCTCTCTCTCCCAAATAAATAAATAAATAAAATCTTTTTTTTTTTTTTAAGTGAAAGTTACTTTTTAAAAAGTCAAAGTTTGGGGCGCCTGGGTGGCTCAGTGGGTTAAAGCCTCTGCCTTCGGCTCAGGTCATGATCCCAGGGTCCTGGGATCGAGCCCCGCATCGGGCTCTCTGCTCAGCAGGGAGCCTGCTTCCTCCTCTCTCTCTGTCTGCCTCTCTGCCTGCTGTGATCTCTCTCTGTCAAAGAAATAAATAAAATCTTTTAAAAAAAATAAAAATAAAAAGCCAAAGTTACTTTTAACTTTGGGGCACCTTAAGTGTCTGCCTTCTGTCAGGTCATAATCCCAGGGTCCTGGAATCAAGCCGCTTATGGGGCTCCCTGCTCAGCAAGGAGCTTGGTTCACCCTCTCCCTCTGCCTGCTGCTCCCCCTAATGTGCACTCTCTCTCTATATCAAATAAATAAATAAAATCTTTTAAAAAAGAAAAAAGGCACAAGTTATTTCTCTCTAATTATTTCAGGTACAATTATTTTTTAAGATTTTATTTATTTAGGAACGCCTGGGTGGCTCAGTCCGTTAAGCGTCTGCCTTCAGCTCAGATCATGATTCCAGAGTCCTGGGATTGAGTCCCACATCAGGGTCCTTGCTTGGCAGGGAGCCTGCTTCTCCCTCTGCCTGCTGCTCCCCTGCTTGTGCTCTCTCTCTCTCTCTCTCTCTCTCTGACAAATAAATAAATAAAATCTTTTTTTTAAGTAAATACACATAAATATTGGCAACTCTTTTTTTTTTAATATTTTATTTATTTATTTGACAGAGATAGATCACAAGTAGGCAGAGAGGCAGGCAGAGAGAGAGAGGGAGAAGCAGGCTCCCCACTGAGCAGAGAGCCCGATGCGGGGCTCAATCCCAGGACCCTGAGATCATGACCCGAGCCGAAGGCAGAGGCTCAACCCTCTGAGCCACTCAGGTGCCCTAAATATTGGCAACTCTTAAAAAAAGATTTTATTTATTTGAAAGAGAGAGAGTGAGGGAGAGCACAGCAGGGGGAAGGGGAGTGGGAAGTGGAGAGAAGGAGAAGCAGGTTCCCCACTGAGCAGGGAGCCTAACCCTTGACTCTCAGAACTTGATCCCAGGACCTGGGGATCATGACCTCAGTTGAAGGCAGACACTTAACCAACTGAGCCACCTAGTTGCCCCTACAATTATTACATTTTTTAAAGATTTTATTATCTGAGAGAACTTGCACATGCAGGAGGAAGGGCAGAGTGGGAGGGAGAGGGAGAGGGAATCTGAGCATGGAACCCCATGTGGGGCTCAATCCTACGACCAAGAAATCACAAACTGAGCTGAAACGAAGAGGCAGCTGCCCAACCGATTGAGCCACCCAGGTGCCCCTATTTAATGTACAATTATTTAATGTGTTAAAATCTTTTTTATTTTTAAGTAAACTCTAGGGGATGCCTAGGTGGCTCAGTTGGTTAAGTGTCTGCCTTTGGCTCAGGTCATGATCCTAGGGTCTGGGGATCGAGCCCCACACTGGGCTCCTTGCTTGTCAGGGAGCCTGCTTCTCCCACTGCCTGCTGTTCCCCCTGCTTGTTCTCTCTCTCTCTCTCTCAGACAAATAAATAGAAAAAAATCTTTAAAAAAAAAAAAAAAGTAAACTCTATGCCCAATGTGGGGCTTAAACTCATGACCCAGAGATCAAGATTTGCAATTTCTACCAACTGAGCCAACCAGGTGCCCCGTAATGTGTGAAAATTTTATTTCTCCAGAAAGATTTATAATATTAGGAAATAGTGACTATATCATATGCTGCTACCTACTCAGAAAATGTTCAATTGTCACTGAAGTGAAAAGCCAGCCAGTTGAGGACACAAAACAAGGAAAAAAACCTGATCCTGCATAGGCTTATCTGAATCTTGAGGATAAGAAAACAATTATAATAGAGTGTATTTCTTTTACTGTGCACTCTACGAATGTTTGATACTTTTTCAATACTTTTTCTGGTTATTAAACATATCCACATATCTCACTTAGATGGCAAGGCTGTTGCATAAGCATTTGAAATGTACTGAAGTTAGAAAACAAGGCTGTCTTATGACCTTGCATTTTTGTTTTTCTGGCTTTTGATAAATATTTATCTGGCCTTTCATAATGACCTCCAAATAATGGCACTGGACTATCTGCTTGTAGAAATTACACAAAGAATTTCAAGAGCAGCTGAAGCTACTGTAATATGCATCCTCACAGCCTTCCCCCATCTAAGATAAATCCTTACTCATCCTTTTTAGAGGACCCTGGGACACAGAAGTATTCACATCAAAACTTACTTTTTCTTTCTTTCTTTTTTTTTTTAAGATTTTATTTATTTATTTGACAGACAGAGATCACAAGTAGGCAAAGAGGCAGGCAGAGAGAGAGAGGAAGGGAAGCAGCCTCCCCCTGAGCAGAGAGCCCGATGCGGGGCTTGATCCCAGGACCCTGAGACCATGACCTGAGACCATGACCTGAGCCGAAGGCAGAGGCTTAACCCACTGAGCCACCCAGGTGTCCCTTACTTTTTCTTTCTTAATCTAGACTCTTCCCTATTTAAACTGATTAGATATTTAAACCTAAAATGTGATGTTTTTATTTTCCAAACACAAAACTAATCATGCATTAAACTTTGAACCTCTTTCATTCAAATGTATTCCTTTTCCCTTCAAGTAAAAGACTGATTTCAAAGCCTCTTTTGTGTGAGGAAATCAAATCATGCAACAAATTTTGGATAAAATCTTTTCTAAACGTTTGAAAAGCAAGATGACCACCCACTCTATTTTACGGAGAGAAATCCAAGTTTCAGTTACAAAAAAAAAAGGGTGATGTTGGGCTGCTCATCTCAGGCATGTCTCTATCTCATCCAGCATGAGGCCAGTACAGTATCTCTGG